TTGATAGACTTTTGAAGGACTTATGAACCAGAGGGCCTCAGGGTAACCAAGACTCTGCTTTGGGGGACATTTGACAGACCAAATACTTGGGAGGGGAAGAGAAGAAAATAACTCTCTATCTAGGATTGGTAGCTATACCTGCTTTGTTTGCCAATCAAGATACCGTGTAAGGCCAACACAATTACCGAGGGTTTAAGCTTGGGGAATTGAGGCTTATCAGAGAGATGCATTATAGAACCTCTTATTCCTTGTGTGATTCTTTCTCCCATGGAACTCCCATCTTTTTATGTGCTGTATATTTATACCTGCCTACTGTATTTTTCACTCCATGCATCTGATGAAGTGGGTTATAGCCCACGAAAGCTTATGCCCAAATACATTTGTTAGTCTCTAAGGTGCCACAAGGATTCCTCATTTTAAATAGATTGAGTTTCTTAAGTCTCTCACTATTATCAGACATCAAGTCAGTCTTGTAGCTCTTTCTTGAGCTCCATCCAATTTTTCCAACATCTTTTTTGAAGTGTTGACATCAGAACTGGACATGGTATTCCAGTAAAGGTCCCACTGATGCTATATGGAGTGGTAATATCACCTCACTACTACTAGATTACACATCCAAAGATCATGTTTGCCCTCAGCTACAGCATCACACTGGGAGGTTATGTTCAGCTTGTTATCCATTATTACCCCCTAAGTTATTTTCATTGTGTGGCAAAATGGCAGATGTTGGTATGGTGGGTTCTGCACTTTTCTTGGTGTGTTTGTGGGGGGCTAGGAAGCCAACCCTTGCCCCTGCTCTTGGGGCGCCAAGGGCCCCACTAGTGTCCCAGGAAGTTGGTAGAGGAGGGAAGCAGAGAAGGGGTCTGGGTTTGCTCCTCACTCTGAGCTCCAGCCCCTCTCAAACCCTGTGGGTTTCTTACCCTCTTCCCCCTTGAGTAGGGTTACCCTTGGTCCTTCACGCTGTGGGAGGGAGTCTCCCTGCTCTGCTGGGGCAGGGTCTCCCTTCCTTCAGTCCTCTGGTCTTTTAAGTCTCAGCAACACACCTCCAAACTCCAGTCCTCCCTCCTTCTTCGCACTCCTGTCTGCCTGAAGCGGCGGGTTTTATTAGATTCCTGACCGGGCCTTAATTGATTACAGGTGCTTCGATTAATCTGTAGCACCCCTCCCTAGTCTACAGGGAACCATGCTTTAATTAGCGTAAGGCTTATATATCTCCCCTCTACCACTCTCCCACTGCTCCCTGGCTTTGCTGTATCACAATTGTCACTGCACTTCAGGAAACCATCTCCTTTCTTGTAAGCGTGACCTATATTTTTTCTTCCTAGATGTATGACCAGCATGTTATTCAATTGAGCCCACCTAATCAGGTGATCCAGATGAGTCTTTATCACTGATTATGCCCATCATTATTTAGCCCCCTCTTTTTTTAAAACTAATGTGCGCGCCATCTGCAAATTTTATATTTTCTTCAAGATCATTGATAAAACTACTGAATAGCATTGGGCCAAGAACAGATCCCTGTGGGACCCCCACAAGAAACACCACAATATGATGATGATCACCCATTTAAAAATACTTTGAGATCTATCAGTTAACCAATTTTTTATACATTTAATATGGAAAACACTGATTTTGTACAGTTCTAGGTGTTTTTTTTTAAATCAGATGTTCATGTCTTATAGAACGCTAAGTATGTTATATCAATACTTTTATCAGCTGAACATGTAATCTCAAAAAAAAATAATACTGTTTGACAAGACTTATTCTCCATAAAATCACATGGGAATGGCATCAATTATGCTACAATACTTGAATTCTTTACTGATGGTATCCCATATTATCTTTTCCATGATTTTGCCTGGGAGAGTTGAGAGGCTAACCAGCCTATAGTCATCCTGGCCCATTTATCCTTTTTATATTCTAGCACAACATTAGTTTTTTTCAGTTCACTTGAATTTTCCCAGTGTTCCAAAATTTGTTAAACAAACAAAAACAAATACATGATATTAATGTATTCAGAGAGCTCCTGGGCCAATTCCTTTAATACTTTTGGGTGCAAGTTATCTGGTCTTGCCACATTTAAAAATCCTTAACTTCAAAAAAAGAAAAGGAGTACTTGTGGCACCTTAGAGACTAACCAATTTATTTGAGCATAAGCTTTCGTGAGCTACAGCTCACTTCATCAGATGCATACTATGGAAACTGCAGAAGACATTATATACACAGAGACCATGAAACAATACCTCCTCCCACCCCACTCTCCTGCTGGTAATAGCCCATCCAAAGTGACCACTCTCTTTACAATGTGTATGATAATCAAGTTGGGCCATTTCCAGCACAAATCCAGGTTTTCTCACCCTCCGCCCCCCTCCCCCCGCCCACAAACTCACTCTCCTGCTGGTAATAGCCCATCCAAAGTGACCACTCTTCACAATGTGTAAATCAAGGTGGGCCATTTCCAGCACAAATCCAGGTTTTCTCATCCCCCCCCCCCAAAAGAACACACACACACAAACTCAATCTCCTGCTGGTAATAGCTTATCCAAAGTGACCACTCTCCTTACAATGTGTATGAAAATCAAGGTGGGCCATTTCCAGCACAAATCCAGGTTTTCTTACCGCCTCCCCCCAAACACACACACACAAATTCACACTCCTGCCGGTAAAGTTACTGTTTCTATTCCATCAGAATGATTTTAAAGTATTTCCTTATCACTATAAGATAATAGATCATATTGCTTCTTTCTCGATACAGAACACAAATATTTACTGAATATTGAGCCTCTTCTGCATAATGCACACATTAGACCTATATCATTGTTAGAATGTCACTTTTTCCTGATATATTTAAAGGATTTCTTCTTGTTGTCCTTAATCCTGCTCACCACTGATTTTTTATTGACACTTTTAGCTTCCCTTACCAATTGTCTGTATTTTATAATTGCTGATTTGTACTCATTGCTCTCAACCTCCCCATTTTTCGATTTGTTATATATGGAGGGTGTTTTTTTTTATTTTTAATTGCTACTTTCCCTCTTAACTATTTATTTTTAACAGAAAAAGCTTTCTTACACAGTTGAAGAATTATGTGATTTTGGACATCTAATGAAAGCACTCTTAAACAATTCAATTATCATTAATATTTTTATGTTTACATTTTTTCTCACACTCAGTTTTGTTTAGAATTCATTTTAGCTTGGGAAATTGGTCATTTTAAAGGTGTGTGTGTGTGTGTGTGTGTGTGTGTGTGTGTGTATATATATATATATATAAAACTAATATTACTGGTTGGAACTATATTATGCTTGCAGATAATTCAACTAGATTGTAATCACAGGCACTTAGGCATCCAATCAATCAAACATTTATGTTTGTCCCTTGAAATGATATCTAAGATGGAAACAACATGGAGAAATTCTAATACTTTCTGTGTCCTGTAAATGTAAACAAACTTGTTTGTCTTAGTGACTGGCTGAACAAGAAGTAGGATTGAGTGGACTTGTAGGCTCTAAAGTTTAACTTTTTTTTTTTTTTGAGTGCAGTTATTTAAAAAAAATAATTATACATTTGTAAGTTGCACTTTCATGATAAAAATGATTGCACTACAGTACTATGAGGTAAATTGAAAAATACTGTTTCTTTTCTTTTTTACAGTGCAAATATTTGTAATACAGATAATAATATAAAGTGAGCACTGTACACTTTGTATTCTATGTTGTAGTTGAAATCAATATATTTGAAAATGTAGAAAACACCCCAAAAATTAAATAAAATGGTATTCTATTATTAACAGTGCAATTAAAACTATAATTAATCCTGATTATTTTTTTAATCGTTTCATAGCCCTAATGAAAATATTTTAATAGCACCATCCAATTGTGCCAGAATCACCTATTAAATGGAGTACAGTCTTTACTGTAATGAAAAATGTCAGCAAGATGTCTAGGACACTTGTCATCAAGACTACATCAAAATCTCGCACTGACATACCTTGCTCCAGCTTTACACCACCACATCCAGCTTTGATAAGTACCCAAGTGACACTTCTATCAAAAAAACAGCTGTTTTCTGTACATGAGGTGCTACACAGCCAAAAATTTGCAGCCTGGGTTCCCATACTATTCATCACATATAAAACTCTTTTTAATTACTATTTATACTCTCTTGTATCCAAGTCCCTCTGCCTCTGAGCCTTACCTGGACAACTTCAGACAACATTTGGTGGTGGTAGTGGTGGTTTTTTTTAAGGATTGGTGCCATCGCATTTAATTTTATCAATGGGTAGGAGGCATTTTAAGAGGAAAAAAGGACAGTACGTTACTGGCACCCAGACAACTTGAACAGGGTGTATGTAACTCAGTAACTTTTCACCAGACAAAAAATAAGTTTGCTTCCAAACTTGACTCTTCTGCACAATAAAACTGTGCTATTACAAAGCTAGTAACCTGATCACACGGTGTCAGTATTTAATGTTTAGGGTAAAGTCTATTGTGATTTTTGCAAAACTTGTTTAAAATTAATTTTAAAATCATCTTCCAGTCTAATTAACACTGCCTCTGCAATTTCTGCATTAACTCCTTGAATGCTGGCATGCCTTGCACATGCAGGAACTACATGGTTTACTGCACTATGGTAAAATTCAGTGGAACATGAGGGCATACATGACATACAATCATAGGACCATAAGGATGCCAGTGCTGATCATGCATGGCACATGAATACAGCACTCAAGAAGCTAAAAGGAAGATGACAAAGACAATCTATGGAAAAAGACTAAAAATAATTTTAAAGTTTTCAGAAGGAAAATGATTAATTCATTTGTACTTAGAGAGGCTTTTGTGAATACATCCTTTTTTGAAGCAATAAGGAATAATATTTAAGTAAGGCAGGAACTGGAGAAGGTGCTGTATTTGATGCAGCCTTCATTATCTGAGCTTTGGTTAGGAGATGCATAAACCTATATTATTAAAAGGAATGTCCCCAAAAAACAGTCTACTTACCAATGCACAGAGCAGATCAACTGCTTCTAAAATCAATTCTTGGTGTCCAATGCGAGTGACTCCCAGTTCTTCAAGTTCTTGATGAGTGATGTGCAACAGCTGTTCTCCATTGATTTTTTCCCTTTCAAAATTTTTAATGTATTGCTGGAGGCAGTCATCAAGGCCTAGTTAAAAAAACAAAACAAAACAAAAACATGTTCAGAAAATGATAGCCAAGAATGTCAAATCTGTAATTCAGTCAACGTACAAATTCCCTTTGGTGCTGAGAAATACTACAGTTTTGGGATTTTTAAGGATGAAAATGCTTTATAAATCTAACGTGAGTCATTGACCCTATAACATGGTGAATACCAGATGCCAATATGTTTTTTCAGCCAGTAATACTTCCACCATTTTTATTTTGATTTAGATATAATTGAAAAATATCCATCGTGGGCTATAGGCACCTTAGCCCAAAATTAAAATTACAATCAAATCAAAAGCAAAACCAGCAGCTACTCCTAACTTACAAACAAGAAAATGACCAAATAAAAAATTAAGCTCAGAAATTATTCCTTTCCTCCATGAAACATCATCTTTTATAGGACTCTTGTGTCTTAGTAAGCAGATGGGCAATGTAGTATGTCCTGAAGGTCCAACTGTTATTTCTTTTCCAAATGATGGAAAAGCATTTCCAAAACTGAGGGCCCTTTATGGAGGACACCTTGCCAGAAGTTCTTTCTCTTATGAACAAACAGAGCTCCAGCTCAATGCTGCTGCTAACTGCTTCTGTCTCAGTATCACACAGGGAGAGTCACAGTTTCACTTAAAGGCACTTGGGGTACATGGATAAAAATCAACAATTTAAATTCTAATGGAAACCAATAATGACATCACAGTATTCAAAAATATTATTTGCCAGTTCTATTACATTACTCCCAGAAGTATAATTTTCAAGTATGATAATTCTATTAAAGAAAACATTTAACATTTGGAGGCAATGCTGTTGGGAGGTGGGCTTTCAGAGACCTTAACAGGCTATCCAAAGGCTAAGCCAAATCAGAGGCATATCCTTCCTGGGATCTCTTTTCTAAGGCTCTCTAATAGAGTTTGCACTTGAATCGTCTTTCTGTTCCTGATACGGTGTTAGGAAGAACCCCATCATGCATATTCAGCCTATACAACAGTGTCACTATCTGCTGTGTTCAGAAATGCTTTAAAGTTCAACAGACTCATTTACCAGAACTCCCGTAGCAACACTTCAATGTTAAGGTCTTTGGCAAAGACCTAGATTCTTTAATTACACAAATACTTAAGAAAATATATGTGCCTAGAATTATGTTCTATTCCAAATTCAGAGTTTATCTAGCAAGAGTAATGGATTTAGTAGTAGCCATGGTATTTTAAAGCCTAGACCATCAAGAAATGAATAACTGAATCTAAGCATAAATACCTCTCAATCCTCCAAAAACAGTTTCACAGCAACACGTGCTTTAAATTTGAGGCCAGGACAGTTGTATGTATATGTAAAATGCATATGTAAAATGCTTGGAATATAAATCAGACCTATTTCTCATCTAGTGAAAGTTCAAATATCAGAGTTGCCTCAAGGACTGGACTTAGAATTAGGCCAGATGGAATGGTACACTGCCATTGGCCTACATTGTCCCAATGTTAGACAAATCTTTTTTTTCCCCCGCAAAGTCCACAAAACAATTTCAACCAGCAGAGTTTACCATAGTTCTCTCCATTAAGTTGAATGGATGTTTGCTTCTCATGCCTTCCTCCTACAATGGAACAGGCAGGGTCAAAACCCATCAAACCTGCCAATACAAAAAACCCCAGCAGGTCCTGGGCATCTAAGAAAGACAAAGTATCTCTCTACATTACCTTCCAGGTCCTATAGAATCCACAGAAGCATGGTGTTACCAGCACGGGTGAACTAACTAGAAGGGGAAAAGCACTGACGAAAATCAAGGTGGAGTATATGAAGGTAAGAAAATAAACATACATAAATAGTGGCTGAAAAAGCAAAGTAACAAATATGAGTCATTATCTGTCATTGTAGAAATGCTTTGAACTCTCTCACTAACACAATATAAAAGAAATAAAGAAGAACTTACAGGAGGCTTCAGTTCCATGATGTAATCATGTAAAGGGATGCAAAACTATAACTACCATGCTATTGGGTATCATTTTTTTAGGTGCCACTTTTTTTCCATAAACAACAAACTCATCTTTTAAGCAATTGGTTTTATTTTAGAAATCAGAAGATGCAGTTTGGCAATGATAACCAGAGACATGCATTGCTTGGTGGCAGCACAGGCATGCTGAATAGAATGATGAATGCACTTCTTTATGAACCTCCTAAAATGCTTCCAGCAATTGATTACTGTCCACTAGTCTATTAATCAGGCTGTTTAATCAGGCCCTTTCAAGCAATAGCTCTAATTGCATGTAGTAAACTCTAGTTCATATTTCCAGATTTTTACCATGCACCACATGTATCTTAATAGACAATACTTATTAGCATAAAACATTGTTGCAAGGTGCGATATAATACCAAGACATGACCAAATATCAGGGTAAGTTGACTTACCAAGAGGCGTTTCCCCTGAAATCACATCACCATTTGGTCAGAATTTACAAAAAAAGTTATGATCTAGAGGGATCTTCTGTTGAAAATATTAGCAGAAATCTGAAGTTTAAATCTACATCTCCATATCGCCTTTCAGCAAAAACAGCTCATGTTCTCCATTGTTTCCCCACGTACAGTATCATACCAGATCATAGTGTACTATTTTGTTATGACCTCATCCAGACACATTGTAGCAAGAGGAATCTGCAAAGTCCACATGCAAGACTGATTATACACCAGGCCTTCTAAATTAATTCAAAAAAATCAGGCCAGAAATCTATACATGCATGCAGACAATTGTAGTATGGCTTAGATGTTAAACACACCTGGAGATTCTTCCATAAATAAAAGAAAGAGCTACTGCTCTTCCTAAAATGAAAAACCCTAATCCAAACTACCTCAGACTGCAGACACTTCCCAAAATTCTTATATTTATTGAATTACCAATAAAAGACAACAACTTCCACTAAAAGTCATCTTCAAAGCAACATGATTTAGTTGGGGTTGGTCCTGCTTTGAGAAGGGGGTTGGACTAGATAACCTCTTGAGGTCTCTTCCAACCCTAATCTTCTATGATTCTATGTCTATTTGTCACACTCTGAGGTGCAGTCCAGACTAATGAGGAGCTGTGGCACCTCCTGCCCTATAACCTTGGGTGCCCTAAATGTTCCGCTGCAGTAGCTCACAGCCCGGACACCAACAGCCAGTAAACAAGCATGCAGTCCCCTGAGAACCTGCATGCTTTGCAGCTCTGATTCAATGCTCAGATCCCAACAACTGCCTATAACACAACAGACTCATTCTAGTCTCTATCGCCCAATTACCTTACGCACGGGTGACCCCAAACACATTCCCAGTCCCATATTTCTCCAAAACCATCTGCCCTAAAGCAGCCCTTTCCTGATACACTTAGAGAAATTATTAAGTTTGCTGGTTTCAGAGTAACAGCCGTGTTAGTCTGTATTCGCAAAAAGAAGAGGAGTACTTGTGGCACCTTAGAGACTAACCAATTTATTTGCTGTTTTCTTTAAAGTAACAGTACATCAACAGTTTACCACGTCACTGGAGTTAACTAGCACTTCATTCTAATCAAAGCAGTGGATTGGATTGGTTTATAGGAAGAAGTAAAACAAGATTATTAAACAAAGGTTATAGGTTAAGTGATACCAAGCAGCAGGAATAAAGGTCAGAAAGTGCTACAAACAAACCAAAGTAGGAATACGCTTTTAAGAATAAAAGTTAATTTCAGCCAATTACAATCTTTACCTAAGCAGATTTCTTGCTTATAATCAATGTCCAGAGACTTCAACCTCCGTTGGCTGAAGGACCCATCCTTCTGTGACCTCAAGAGCTCTGGCCTCTTTGTGAGAAATGCTTTTCAAAAACTAAAGTTCATTGAGCCTGCTGCAAGAGGAAGTCTTCCAGGGGATGCTGTCTCCATCCCCAGTAGAGATTGTTAAGTGGCCATCTTTCCCCACTTGCTCTCCTGATGGCTTTGTTTACCCTGCTTGTATTAATGCCTTCATTGTCTCTGCCTGATGACCAGGCTGGTCACACAAGCAAATACTCATTCCTTTGTGATCTGGACATACTGACTCTGTAGCTACCTTGTGAGCTTTCATGGCTGTTTACCCTCTGTGTAAACTAAAATCCCACTGTCACTGGTCAAACCTGCTTCATTTGTATTCAAGAGCTGGGCAAACCTGTTATCTACTTCAAATACATACTTTAAAACAAACATCTATAACTCCACATATAGTATGAATACGTATATTTCACAATGATACTAATCACCAGTGTGTCATTAGTTTTCCAGTGATATATTACAGGGCACATTTTAAATACAGATCATGACACCAATGAATTGGTGTAGACTGGTCAAGACAGCTGAAATTCATTGCCCGATACCAGGGAGCCCCTTGCCCTCTGGCCTTGGGATGCTGTTGTGGTCACATTATTTTAACCATATGTGATTGAGTCTACTCACACTACGGAGTGAGGAAACCGGAAAGTTAGAAACAAACGTACTATTTTTGAAGTGCAAAAACAAAGTAGTCAAGAATCGACCATCTTTCAGATCTTAGATAAAAAAATATATTTTGATGCTAAAAGGCCTCCAGATCAGTCCCCTCTGACAGCTATATTGTCTGTATATGTGTAGCCAGTGTTCATAATCAAAGGCTGAAAATAGTATGGAGATCTGATGTCCAAAATTCATGAAATAATGAAAATAAATTTGCTATGTGGAAAACCTCAGTATTGATGCCAGAATGGTTATTACATAAAATTATTATTTATTCTGATAATATTAGGTCATTACAAACTTGCTTGCACCTTCAATAAAGGAGGTACAGGTATTTTCATATACAATATACTTAGAGGATAACATGTTTGTTAAAAGAAATGTTCAGGCTAATTTAAAGAAACTGCTAGGAAATTTGCTTTTTTGTCATCTAGGTACAGACTTCAAGTGTCAAAGGGAAGTAACACTATATTTATTACCCCAAAGAATGTTTAGCAGGCTCTGAAATACAGTTTGTAACTTCT